TGCTGCTGCTGCTAGCACTCGCACTAGCACTAGCACTAGCACTAGCGCTAGCACTAGCACTAGCACTAGCACTAGCAGCAGCAGGCGTATTCGTCGACGGCAAGGCAGTACACACAAGAGTAGCAACAATACGCTACCATGAACACCTGGAGCTTGCTAAGACCCAAGCTTCCTCATGCGATGTTCCCCAAAAAGCTCCATGCACAGACCCCACCTGTAGATCTCTTCTCAGGCTTAAACTTGGGGTGCAGGTTAGATACGGGGGCCTACCATGAGTTCAACCCCTATGCACCAGGCCCGTCCTGTTCGCCGTGAGCTGCGCCCACTGCTCTGGATGTGTGTACAGCGCTTCCTGTCATGGTAGAACTCTCCAGGCAGGTGGAGGTTTGGCTTGAGGATTTATAGTAGAAGCATGAAAGTTGGATCATGATTGTCCTCATGCCCTTAAGGTAAACTATGAGGGATCCTAGCACCAGTCCTCCTAAATCCATGTTACAACTTTCTGGCTCCTAGCAGGTTCTAGCGTAGGGTTGAGGGTTTGGGGCAGGGGGGTCTCATGCCTACACCGAAAGCAAGAAGCAACCCTGCGGGAAACTAGGTTTGGGTGTTTGGGGTTTAGAGTTTGCTTTTTAAGGGTTTGAAAGTTGAAGAAATGCAGGCCGTAACTGGGGATTTTTGGGACGAGAACTACAGTAAGTAGAACAACGACTGCCAGAACTGATAGTGGGCAGAACAAGTAACAAGACTCAACCAACAACAAGGCCATGACACTACCACCAATCGGGCGAGAGATCGTGGGTTCGATGCAAATAGAGGGGGGATAGCGGCAGAAACCCTAAACCCTAAACCCTAAACCCTAAACCCTAAACCTTAAACCTTAAACCCTAAACCCTAAACCCTAAGCCCAGAGATCATGAGAGCGATGACTCGACAATTGCAACCGTGGACGTGGTAGCACAAGCACTGTGCACTTGCGGGCACGCTCCAAAACAAGATACCCTGGGATTCTAAAACTTCCAGGCTTTACTCCCAAGGTACTGTTATGGGAGATACTTTTCCCAAATCATAATAAAAAAATCCTAAAATATAGAAACCCTACATTCTACTATATGGTTAGTTCTCCAAAATAGGGTCCCTTCTTAGGTCCCCAATATAGTACGGCACCCTTATAACAGGAGCCCAAAGGTTTCCCTAATTTGGAAAACTACCCATACAATCCCAGAAGTTAGAAACCCTACATACCGTAGACCCTAAACCCTAAACCCTAAACCCTACGCCCCAAACCCGAAACCCAAGACCCCAAACCCAAGACCCGAAACCCAAGACCCTAAGCCCTAAACCCAAGGCCTTAAACCCTGAACCCTACCTTGAACCCTTCGGGTCTTCGTCCGCCTCGACCACATGGTGGAGAAGCGGCTCTATCAGGGTGACGTTTCGAAAGCCCTGGTTCAAGGTCAGCTCCAGAACTTGCACCTGGGTTGGGGTTTGGGGTTCAGGGTTTAGGGGTTTAAGGTCATTGGGTTTAGGAGTTTAGGGTTTAGGGTTTAGGGTTTAGGGTTTAGGGTTTAGGATGAGGGTGATGGGGCTATGGGTTTAGGGTTGTAGGGTTTGGGGTTTGGGGTTTAGGGTTTAGGGAACCTGGGGAAGCGTTCAAAAACGCGCTGTGTTACGGGTTTCTTCAAAGGTTCCTACTATAATTCGGAAGGGGGAGCTATTTGTAATTTGTAACCCTACACCCTGAACCCTAAACCTATTATACTCGTAGTTTGCAACCCTAAACCCTAAACCCGAAACCGTTAGCTATTCATGGAAAGGTTCTACAAAGATCTACTTGCCAAGGTTTCGTCGGACCCTGCCCTGACAAACTGCTTAGCCTTAGCTTAAGGCTTAAAGTGAAGGCACCTAAACCCTAAACCCTCAACCCTAGACCCTAAACCCCAAGTTTGAGAACCCCCGCCCCACATATCTTCGCAGGGCTTGAAGTTTGGAGGTTCGAGACGAGTTGGGGTTCAAGGCCTCGTCTCTAGTAGGGTTTATGATTTTGGGCCTTGGGATTTCAGGTTTAGGGTTTAGGGTTTTGGGTTTAGGGTTTAGGGTTTAGGGTTTATGATTTCGGGGCCTTGGGGTTTCAGGGCTGATGCTGTAGGACTCCATGTCTCAGTCTAGGTTCACATCGCGACACCTTTCCAAATCTCCGAGTGTGAAAACTTCCAGTTGAACTAGATCAGGGCAGGAAGGGAACAGTGGTCAATCTTTCAAGCATCACACGCCTGCCTTAAGCTTCAATCGCCGAAACCCGTATGGCCCGCAACCAAAACCGACCCAAAACCCAATTGCATGCATCCAAAACAACGTCCCTCTCAAGAACGCTGTGCCCTGGACTGCCTCAAACCATGAACGCCCCTATAAAACCGAACAGCTAACACAAGATGCTGCAACCACAGGCCCTTCGCTCCTTCCGCATACACCCCTGCTCCGACCTGTATCTAGATGGGTACTTGTTTATTGACACCAGCATCGGTGTCGTATTCCTTTGAGAAGGGATCTTCATTCTCATCACGATCTGCACCAACATCATCATCTTCCTCTCCTTTATGATCCTATTCATCACCGTTGACCGGCATAGGGGTACCAATAAGACATGATACCAACCGAACCAACTTCTCAACAATGCATTACTGTAATGACAGTGCTCGTTTCTCGCCTCTGCCACTACAGTGTCATCTAGACCCGAAAACCCCGTTTGCGCATTTGAAAGCCCCATACTAATCAAACCCGAAACCCCGAAACCCCGAAACCCCTAAACCCTAAACCCTAAACCCCAAAACCTCCAGCAACCAAAACCAAGGGTCGAGATGCCAAGTCTACAAGGAGCCAGCTAAACTGTTCGCGACAGCGGCCGAAGAAATCAACTGGAAGCCTGTTGGCCACAAGTGCTTCAGGCCCACTCTCCGTCTCTCTCTCTCTCTCTCTCTCTGTCGTTCTTTCTGTCGTTCGTTATTTATGTCTGTATTTAGTTAGTTCTTTATGTCTGTCGTTCTTTATTGTTCTTCACTTTTGTCGGTTCTTTATGTAGTGTTATGTATATTTATTTGTTTGATATTTATTTAGTTCGTTATTTCCTTAGCTCGTTATATATTTCGCTCGTTCGTTCTGTCGTTCGTTGCTTATGTATGTCGTTGTTTCTGTCTTTCTTTCTTTCGCTATTTGGTTAGCTCGTTCTTTATGTATGTCTTTCGTTCGTCGGTCCTTTCGTTATTTCGTTCTTTCTCTCTTTTCTCTATACATATATACATATATATATATATATATGCATAGATCAGTAAACCGCGTGGTAACTCTTCTTCAATAAGGCCCTCTTCAGCCGAAGAAGGGGAAATATGGGACATGTAAAACGTCCCAAAGGCCTACGTAGTCGTCAATCGATAGGGGCAGTTCTCTAACTTAGGGTCCCTTTTTAGGTCCCCAATATAGTACGGCACCATCATAAAAGGACCCTAAAAGGGACCCTGATTTAGAGAACTGCCTATAGTGATGAGGGCTTTGCGTCTGCTCTTGGGTTGGCGAAGTGCCATCTGCCACCGGTCCTTTACACCTCAAGTAAGAAGTGTGGTTTGATAATTACATCTAGCAGGTCCTATGAATATTGATGACGGCTGTTGTCGCCGATTTTGCTGTGACAGAATTATGCTCTGCGGTCATGCAGATCTGCTTGTGCATGTGTTGTTTCTGTGCCGGCCTGCAGTTTTTCAACGACGTCCTCCCGTATTCCGGACGGGGTCTGCATCGGGCTGTGTTCAAACTGCACGTACGGAGTCTCCCCTGTTGACAATGAAGCCGATGGTCCAATGCTTTTGTGTGGTCACTCCTGACTCTTGCTTTATGTTCGAGATTGTAACGATGGCTGCACTGATGCCTCTGCAAGCTATCTACTTTCCTTGATGTGTCCTGCCACGACTTGCTGATAAGTTGCCCGTCTCTTATATTTCACATCCGCGAGTTTCTGGTGGGGAAGGGTTCCAGGAAAGTCCTATCCTCATATACGCCTGAACTCTGAACCCAAACCGTTACCGTCAGAAACATTGCAACTACACATGCCTACATAGTCAACATATTCACCAAGTGTACCTCGAACCTCCTTTGATTGGCCTTACTCACCAAAAGAGAGTCTTAGGGGTATAGCCTTACATATCTACACATGGACCACATGGGGATGTTGCTGCTGAATGTCTTGACCCCAAAATTATCTGAATGAGGAACACTAGTTGAATCCTGAGACGTTCATCGCGATTCGTTCTGTCTAAGGCTTCTTGTGGTGCAGTGACAAACCTTCCTAGCAGGATATGCTCAACCCTGAACCCTCCACCGCCCTAAACCCTGGACCTAATTCAACAGCCGGGCCGCAGGACCACCTCTGCAGCTGGATCAAGCCGGACTGTAGATTCCTGGTCAAACCCGTGACTGCCCAGACCCCTCGGAGCATCTAGACGGGAGGTGCCCTGGAAGAGCCCGACAAAGTAGAGTATGGGGTCCAAGTTCTGCTTAAGTTACCATCATAGGTGATCTATGGTGAGTATTATGGTTCAAAGTTTACGGCCATAAGGCTTTGGGATCTTAGGCTTTGGAGTGGTTCTCGTTCCCCTCTGAGATTAGACCGCTTGGGATGGCGGGAGAAGGCCTTCCGGACTGTCGATTCCAAGAGAGGAAGCGACTTCTACGGACCTGAAACCTAAGCCCTACAAAACTTTAAACAATATATAGGTCGAGATCGTGGTCGAGATCGAGATAGATGCATTCTCTACGCCTAAAGTGCCCTGGTTGTCCTCAAATTTGAGATGTGAGTTGGGTTTAAGTTGGTTTTAGATTTGAGATTTTCTGATGGACCCTAAACCCTGAACCCTAAGTCAGGGATTCAGTGTCCGAGCCGCAGCAGCCGCCACCGGAATGGTGCTGATGTTGAAGAGCTGGCCGCCAGAAGTCGCTTAAGTGGAACCGAAACCCTAAATCCTACGGTTTAGGATTTTAGGGTTTAGGGTTTAGGGTTTAGGGCTTTAGGGTTTTAGGGCTTTGGGGTGCTGCTAACAAGGCAAGATGGTACCCCGCGCCTTAAAGCGAACGTTCTCGTGATGTAGGGCTCGGAAGAATGAGAGTAGGGTTCCCCTTCAAGGTTTTTTGAAGGCGTGTATAAGAGATCTGCAAGAGTTCTAGAGTATCGGGCTATTGGGGCCTTCATAATTAGAACAGGGTTTGTGTAGATAGGTTTATTGTACAAGGACTAGAGTAAGGGGCCCTACAGCCCTAGAGAATGACACTCAGGCTTCCATAGTAAGGGTTAGGGTTTAGGGTGTAGGCTTCAGGATTTAGGGTTTAGGGCTTAGGGGACGGATGATAGATCCCTAGGCTCTGGGCGCCGAAGCACAGAAGGAGCATCGCCAAGCGCCATGCAAGTCCAAAATCAACACAAAAAGCAGCGAGGACAAGCTGGCACGAGTCCATGATACATGAAATCCGAACACCCTAGACTCTAGACCCTAAAACCCTCGGCCCTAAAGCCTAAAACCCTAAACCCCAAAAACCCAAACAGCGATTTGCTGATGTCGGCTGGCCTCGTAGGAACCCTTTCTCTGGAACCTCGGAGAGCAGGAAATGCGAACAATGAAAACGGTAAGAAAAGGAGGAGGAGGGCTTACAGGTTTAGGGTTCGGGTTTAGGGTTTAAGGTTTAGGGTTTAGGGTTTAGGGTTTCGGGTTTAGGGTTTAGGGTTTAGGGTTAGGGTTTGGGGTTTAGGCATTGGGTGACAGAAAGTTTTTTGTCAGCGTCAATATCACCAACATCATCGTCATCATGTCCCATGACGACAGCAGCACTGACCGTCACAAAGACTTCAGCTCATCCTAAACCCTAAACCCTAAACCCTAAACGGCTCATAACCACTTTGGGGGGTGGGGCCAGGGGAACGAAAGCGAACCCAGGCTGGAGGGGCGGTAGCTGGCTAGGCAGGCTCCGAGCATCATAACCCAGAAAACCCAATACCCCTGAATTAAGGAATATGCCTTAAATCACAAGGTTAAGGCCCCCATAATTTAAGGTATATTCCTTAATTAAGGGGTCCCTAAACCCTAAACCCTAAACCCTAAACCCTAAACCCTAAGGTATATTCCTTAATTAAGGGGTCTTGGGTTCTCTGGGAACATTCAACCGAAGGCAAACAAATCTGACGAGGTGGGCAATCAGCAACGGAGGGCAACAAAGCGGGCGAGGCGGGCTCCGGGTTTAGGGTTTAGGGTTTAGGGTTTAGGGTTTAGGGTTTAGGTTTTAGGGTTTAGGGTTTAGGGTTTAGGGTTTAGGGCCGCATCAGCAACCTCGGGGAAACGGAGATATCATCATCACCTCCGGCACGTCCCATCCGACCACATTAACAACTCAGGAGCCGAGGGGGAAGGGGGGGGGAGGCATTTTGATCGATATCTCAACTCTTTTGCGTCTGGGCAAAAGGCGGTGCCGGGCCCACCGCTTACGAGGATAGAAACGGAAGTCTCGCCATGCTAGCTTTCGAGGGCTCGAACTGAAACCCACACCAAGATCCGAAACAATTGATCCTACGCAAAACAGAAGCCCCAACGTGGAAACCCAAACCTCTGAGCTTTTTACCCATTTAAGGGTGTAGGGCTTAGGGTTTAGGGTTTAGGGGTTTAGGGGTTTAGGGGTTTAGGGCTTTTACCGAAGCCGCCAGATCCTACTCTCTCAGAGCTCTGGGATTTGTCACCCGAAGGCCCCTGACCTGAATGCGCCACGAAAACGCCCTCTGGACAACTCGAAAGGGAACGACCGCAGGTTTAGACTTTAGGGTTTCGGGCTTAGGCAAAGCATGAGCAGAAACTTCTCCATGCAGTCACTGCATGGTTCATGACAGTTGCTTAGTCAAGCTGTTTCCCTAACCCTAAAACCTGAACCCCCTAAACCCCCTAAACCCCCTAAGCCCCCTAAACCCCCTAAGCCCCCTTAAACCCCTAAACCCCCTAAACCCTAAACCGATATAAATGCCAAGCCTTCAGCCTCAAGCCCTAAGATGTTCCGGCTCTGAAATCCTAAACCCGACAGCCTAGGTTTAGGGTGTAGGGTTTAGGGTTTAGGGTTCAGGGTTTAGGGTTTAGGGTTGAGGGATCAGGGTTTAGGGTTATGGGTCCCAGCACTCCGAGGAGCATTCCGCTAGGGCCCTCCGCCAGCAGGGAATAGGATCGGCTGGAAGTTCGGATGAACGGCTTGAGATGCCTAGGGTTCACGGTTCAGAGGTGATTAGAGCTGCTACTAGCGGCTCTCTAAGGGCAGGGGTTGACGGCTCGGGATTTAAGATGTCGGGCTTGAGGTATAATGTAGGGGCCTTAATAATTAGAATAGGGTTTTGGGCCCCATTACACTATAGTTATAATAAGGAGCCCCCAAAGTAGTATAGGTAATTATTTAGGCGCCTATATTAGAGGGCTTCGGCCTTTGAGGCTGGAGGCTTTTGAGATGCCGACGAGTTGGGATGGCAGCGCAGCCGATGTTTTTGTGTGTGGGTAGTTCTCTAAATTACCCTAAAAGGGACCCTAATTTAGAGAACTACCCATCTATTCAAAGGACTGCTGGACGTAAAACTGTAAAACGTCTACTTAGATGCTGCAGCGTAGGATTTGGGGCTTCCGTTTCGGCGCCATTTTTGGGTTTAGGGCGTACGGTTTTGTGTGTTTACCCTACACTTCACAACAGCTGTCTGGGGATACAACGCGCCCCAGGAAGCTTTTGCGTGGCGTTGTGTGAACGGCCAGTAAAGTACTCTCTATCTTGCATAGAGCTGACGCCCTGCATGCAATGCGAAGAATCACACAACAGCAATGCTCCTGCATCTACCACCGCAGTCTGCTGAGAATACCAAAAGCCATGATTCAGCAGTAAGAAGTAAGAAGCATCATCACGATCAAAACGGCCGTATGCAACTGAACCTGTGCTGTTCGCTATACCCTTTCCCACCATGGTGCAGCTCACGCTCCAGGAAGAGGGAAAACGGTGCGTCCTCCTGCCAGCCACATTCCCCTTTCTGACTATCCCTGAGGGTCCATGACGGTCCATGTACTCACACAGTATAGAAACTTTTGCCCAAAGTACCTAAAGAGGGACTACATTCAGGAGAAAGCGGGAATGTATATACTATTTGAGTACATGGGGCCTGAAGATGACCCTGCCACGCATGACCGGTCGTACAGTTCCGGACTAACCCCCCCCCCCCCCCCGCGTACGAGATCGACAAAGTTGTGGCTACTTGCGTGGGGCAGAAAGGTGAAGCTGGACTTGCACTACTGCGCCGGTCCGAAAGTTCGTCGCACTCTATGTTGTTCATTTACAACGAATCTATCCAGACCCCCCTTTCCCCCCTAGACTCCTCCAGAAGTCCTCCGCCCTGAACAATTATAATAGTACAATT